ATTCTTCATTTTATAAGTAGGTTCTCTGTACAACTAGTAGATCATATACATGAGATGTATTCAATCTATTTCAGTTAAGGTGGTAAGAGGACTGGTAAATGAATTTTCTCGTAATGATATAAGTAGACTTTGCGTTTCCATTACATTTCGCATTGCCTTGCATTCCCAAAAGGTATACTCCTTATCTAGCACCATGAAAATAGGCAAGTCATAAAAATACATTATTCAAATCCAGGCGTTCATATTAGGATATGCAAATTCTAAATAACAAATGTTAAGCTTAAAAAAGGTAGATAAAAAGCTGAAAAAGAGAAAATATAAACAGTAATAAAGTAAAAATATTTTTAAAATAATTAAGGTAATAATATTCAGAGTTGTGGAAAACAATATAATGTGAAAAATAAATGGCCTCCGTGGAAGGCCTAGAGCAAGAATTTAAAAACTATATTAAAATCATATATTGGTGAAAGCAAGATACAATAAAACTATCATAAAAGATATAAAAAATGGCAGGTAGCATTATCCGCAACGAAGTTAATTACGCTAATTGAGAACATTGCTAGCTGCAAAAACTTACTGATCTGTTGAGACCACTTGTTCAACCGAATTAACCTGGTCGGTTAGCTCGACTACTCGCCGTCGCAATATGATGACCTCTTCAAAAAGGCATTGATAGTCAGGTTTTTCAGTCTCTTCTGCAGGAATTTGTCCGAATTTATCCATATTTGCGGGTGTTTCCAGATTTGGTTTCGAGTCGATGCTGGCTCGCGAGAAACCTGGTAAATCAGTGATCATGCAATGACTGACTGCACATGCCTGAGTAGCTCCAGTTGAATTAATGGAGCCTACACACTGGGGACTGGCCGTTGTCCAGTGGCAGGGCAAAGGAGTAGGAGTCAATGATGTTGTTGGCGTGCCGCTGATGCTCACACAATCAATTTCTACAGGATTATGTTCAGGGTCAAGACAAAGCTTATGGGAGGGTGGAGGACAGAAAGGTTTGGGCCCGTGATCGGATTGCTCGTCCTCAATGTAAGGTTGGCTGAACAGTCGTTCAGAAGACTTTCGAGGCGTGCTGCTATATGATGGCGTCACACCAGCTAGTGGGTTTTCGAACAAGTCTGCAAAAAAGGCAATTTAGAGGAAGCGTAAGTCAAATGAAGCTCGAAAAGTTGACAGAGAAATATTTAAGAGAAAGTTAGACATTGAGGCGTCTAGGTTCGTAGAAGCGAAATTAATGGAAAATAAAAATTCTACGTGTGTGCGACCTATGCGGCTTAAATACTTGCCACTCAGCCTTGTAAACACATCAAACACCCTTCTGTCTGTTCGATTGACTGAAAGATAATAGGGATTCCTAAAATGTGTAAGAAAATTGGAGTACAGGATAGTGCAAATCGTTCCCCTAGGCTTCCCCTTACCGGGACGAGATGATAAAACTAGAAGAGGTCAGTTATCCACAAAATGTTAGCGTAGGTTGAAACTCAGTAAATCAAAGATATCCACTACCCTAGATGTATAAAGATTAGTCGTTACGAATGAAACGAAATAGGGACTATG